ATTCTGCCCCTAACAAGACTCAGTATTTTTAAAGCCATCACGATTACAAAAGGAGGAGAGTAACCCATATCTGTTGGACAGGGGTTAGTGGCTTTAAAAGAACAAGTTCTATTTATGTTAAGAATGCTGGTGGTTATATTCCTGAATATTCTACTCCTTTCTGTTACCTCTTGCTTTCCTATCTGCATGAAGTCATAGAATAAGTTTCAAGGTCACTTGTTTATGTTCCGCACCTATAACATGGCATATTTCTATTGATTTCCCTGCTTTTCTCCATGCCCACCTCCAACCCAACTTTGATATAGCTGTTTGAGGGGTCATTTTTGTGGCTATTTATTTCTCAGAACAGTGATTTTCGACATGGGTTAAAGCATTATTCCCTAGAACAATGTTTTTAAAATTTATCCAAAGAAATCAATGCATTTTACTTCACACGTAACACCCTTATGCTTTTGTAACTGAAACAAAGTTTTCACTGTTCTTTAGTAATCGTGATACTCTTTTCTCTTAATTTTTCTTAAGGGGTTAGGCTGACTGAACCTTACTAAATTGATCTCACTTCCCACTAATGCCATGGTTCTCAATCTTGTTTGCATAAAAATATCATCTAGAAAACTTAAAAAAATTTTCAATGCCCAGGCCCCACACTAGAGCGATTAGAATTTCTTGGAATTGGAGCCCACAAATCTCCTCCGGTAAAGGCTTTACTGAGTTTTCTTGGCTTCTTACCACCTCTTCCTTTGAGCCTCACTCCTGAAATCTGGTTCTGCCTTTATTGTGGCAAGCAGTATCTGGTTTTGCACGCACTGACATGTTTATTTTAGGCTATAAATTCCTTGAGGGTAAGAGACTATCTCCTTCATCATTGTGACCCTAGCATCCGGCACACAATAGCTCCCTCGCATAAATGTACGAGTGAAGCAGAGACTAAACCATCTCCTTTGCCTTCCTGGTTCTTCTTTATCTTTCTTCTCGCTATCCTCTTATTTCTTACTGCTCTTGTTTTGTTTTTCAATCACTGGCCCTTTTTCCTCAGCCCATTTCTGAATTACCAAAATTGCCCTATGCCCGGCCCTTGGCCCTCTCCCCACTCTGTAATCTCCCTGGTGATCTCGTCTATGCACACGGCTTCCGCTGTGTCCACCTCCTGAAAGCTTCCAAAGTCACGCCTCCCACCCATCTCTCTTATGAGATCTAGACTGATTTTCCAACTCTTTTTTGGTAAAGCCTCATGGTTGAGAGCTCTGCTGCAGTGTTAGAGGCCACAGGAATGGGTTTAGGCTCTAGTTCGACCACTGTCTCTTTCGAATTACTTAAGACCTTCGTTTTTCTCATTGGTGAATTCAGGATGATGGATGGTATCCAATTTGTAGGGTAGTTTTGAGGATTAAAAGAAACCGTATTTACACTTCTTAGCACAGTGCCTCGCTGGCACAGAGTAGGTGCTCAGTAATTGTTAGGTACTATGACTAGACATCTTCATGTGAAGGTCCTTCAGATATCTAACTGTTTCAAAACAGCGTCATCCTTCTTACACCTCTTGCCTGTTTCTAAACCTCCCGACTTCCTCCTCAAGTAATACATCACTGGGATCTTGGCTGACACAGATATGATTCGGCGTCTAGAAAGGACCTTTACGGGACCCTCAGCGTCTCCACAGTCCTCAGCATCTCTCAGCCAGATTCACTGTCTATCCAAACTCTATCTGGTCTATTCCTGCCAGAACTGATTTTTGTAAAATGCAAAGCAAATCTGACTATGTCATTCTCATCCTCATCTACTTGCCCCATTACGTCCTTCAGTGATGGGATAAAGCCCAGAGCCCCTCATGTGGCAAATTCAGTTTTTCATTATTTGGTCTCTGGACCCTGTATTCCACTTCCTCCTATAATGTACCTTGCTGCTTCTTGCCTTGGTACCTGCTGTTCCTCCGTTTCTCATGCCCTAATCTCTTACCCCTCACCCTTTACCAGAGAGTGCTTTGTCCCTCCTACAGCTCATTATCCACCTAGAGTACTTAATAAACTCTTAGGTAATTATTTAACCCTTGTGTGTTTCCCATTCTCCATCCCACTGCTGCAGTTGGTGAGCTCGTTGCTCACCAGGCAATTAAAAAAAAATTTTTTTAAAAATGTGGCTTTGTGTCCTGAGCTGGCAGCCCAAGACCTTACATATAATAAGAACTCAATGATTTATAATGAATGAAGTTTGAGAGTCTGTGCTTTGGAATTAGAAAACAATATAATTAGTTCATATCTTTATTTTATTTATTTTATGTGAGTACGTGTTTGGTAAAGTAATGTGACCCTAGTGAAACTTGAGTCTCTTGTGCAATGCTTTGTGTTAGAAGTTGCAGCATGTTGTGACATGTCTTGGGACCAGGAACTGTTTGACAGTCTATTCTCTTCTGTTATTTAAGTTGTAAATTCAGATATTTGACAAACATACCTCTGGGCACCTACTTTGTACCAGGTACTGGGCAAGGCACAGGAGCATATAGTAATAATACCACAATAATACTTCTGATCATTGTGTAACTCCTCTACTCTGCATCTAAGTTAGTTTGTGAGATCACCCACCTTCTATGCATGAGTAAATGGAGGTTCTTATTTAAAATCTAGTTTCTAAGGGAATGCGGCTCATAAATGGAGAACAAGATTAAAACCAAGGTCTGCCTTCTTCCTAAGCCCATTACTTCTATCAATAGTGCATACCACCTCGTAGGTTCCAGTCATTGAACTCCTTCTGTCTCTGAGGTGCTGAATATGCACTATTTTGATTTAATTCTCCTAACACTCTGTAAGGCATTATCTATACTTATTTTTTCTGGAGAGGAAATAGGCTCAGAGATTAAGTAACCTGTGCAGGGTCACACAGAACTTGTGGCAAGTAGCAGAGCTGAAACACTCATTCAGGTCTGCTTGGCTCCCTTGCCCGTTCTCTGTCCAATTAGCACATGGCATGGTCTAGCCAGGGGGCAAAGACTGTAACGGGAATTGAAGGTCAATGCGATAAGTGCAGGGGTAAAACAGCAAGGGCAAAGGACTGCTGGTTCAGCGAGGAAGGAGTGGAGATAACTGCTCAGGCTGTGGGTTCCAAATGTTCTGATCTTATCAATATTATGCTGTTAAGTCACTCATTCATTCATTCATTCATCCAACAAATATTGTTGGGCCCTTCAATTTGCTATGGATATTAGTGGTAGTTGATATAAACATGAAAAAGATTAAGTCATTTTTAAAAACCTCATAGTCTTCTTAGGAGAAGGGGATAGAGGATGAGACAGAGACAAATGGCTACAATAGAAATAAGTGCTATAGCAGAGCTAGTTACCAGCAGCTTTGGAACAAGCAGCTTGGGTTCTAATCTCAGTTCTGACATTGTTCTAGTTAAGTAACCTTGGGCTAGTTATTTAATCTCTCTGCATCTAAGTTTTAGATGCATGGTAATAATGGCAATCATATCTCATTGTGTACTCTTGTGAGGTTGAACAGAGTTTATATATGTAAAGCATTAATAGTGTCTGACACTTAGGAAGTATGTAACGAATCCAAAGTCAGTGAATTATCTCATATTTATTCATCCATCCAATACATATTATTGAGTTTCAATAGATAGAGATGCTAGAATGCAGGGCTGGGAATACAACAGTGAACAGGGCAGGCATGTCCTCTCTCCACAGGCAGCTTACTGCTTGCCTAAACCACTTTCCTTGATAACACAGATGTGCTTTTTATAAACTTGTAAACTTTTGCATAGAGGTCCTCCAAATTTTTCCTCTTCATTCTAGTTTCTATCCTCCTTGTACCCTGCTTCCTGTCTCGAGATTTGTAGTGCCCAGGAAGCACCCAGTACTAGTGCCTTAGTATGGCTTGAGATGACATATCAAATCTATGCATTTTTACACCCATACTATTTGCTTGTTGCATGTAGTTGGGCTCCTTCCTTTAGTGTTAGAATCGATTAGAGGTTTGGCTAATTAGGAAATGGTGAAAGTTCACCAAGGAGATGACAAAAGCAAGATAATTACTGAAAGCCCTTTCCCTTGACTTCTTCATGTTCTGCTCTTATTGCTTAAAATGTTCCACAGCCATTCAAACAGCCCTTTCTCCAAATCTACCTAACTTCTTCTTGCCTAGCTTTTACTTCCTCTGGTAAGTCTTCCCTGACTTTCCAAGACAATGGGCTCTTGAGTAGACCTTATGCTTATCCCTATAGTAAGACTTACTGTTCCACTGCAGGATAACTGCCTATTCTCCTGTCTCCCCCACTAGTCTGCGTGTGTTGTGTGGCCTGGCCCATCCTTTATGTCTTACTCTCCACTGTATCCCTAACCCAGTGCTACTTTCTTACTGTTAACATGTCGTGTCCTTTATGCACATATTGAACTTAGAGGTCAAGAACCAATAAAGCAGGTAAATTAGGAGCAATGATTTGTATTGTGTTACAAAGAGTCTAATTCACTTTATAAAGGGATTTGTTGCGAGATTCCATTGAGTAGGGAGTAAGAGTTATTTCTATTGAAACGACCCCCAAATCTCAGTGGCTTACCACCCACAAATAAACTTTCTCAAACACGTGACAGTCATTGTAAGTGTTCAGTTAGCACACTTCCAAATCTAGAGGCTCCACCATCCCTTAGGTCCTTGGGGTCCACTGCTTGGTCTTCTGCCTTTGGCTGGCAGTTGAGAAAAGAGAGAGAAAGAAGAGAATCACTCAAGTTTTATTCTAGGTCATATCTGGAAGTGACACACGTCACTTCCCATCTCATGGACCGGGACTCAGTTACATGGCCGCACAAACTGCTAAGGTAGCTGGGAAAGTGTTCTAGCTGTGTGCCCAGGAGGAAAGAGAGATACGTTTTGGTGAACACACAGCAGTCTCTGTCCCGGAGCTTACCAGAGCCAGGCAGCCCTCATGTAAAGGGAGGGCCCTTGTCTACTTGCAGTGGGTCCCAGAGTAAAGAAATTGCATTGATGTCTGCTATTTTGGCTTTGCAGACGAACTCATGTGATCAAAATCTGAGTGTTTGCCTCGAACTCATTGAACAAGTTGCCAAAGTGCAGGGACAACTCTTTGGAATCCTCACCACAACAGCGCAAGAAGGTGAGAATGGCCTGTGCTCTCCCATCCAGCTCTTCTTCTTTCTTTCTTTTCTTTGTGCTCTCTGACTGAATTGGTGTGGTTGAGTTTCTCTCACTGACCTGATTTGTGGATTCTCTTAGGAGGACATTATGATGGTGTGGAAGTAATCAAATCACGCCTTTTACCTTGGCTGGAGGCCTCTTTTACTGCTGCTTCCGTGGGAAAACCTGTTGACAGCAGGGTCCCCTCTCTACAGGTAAGGATGCTAAAGGATTCCCCTTGACCTTCAGCAGGCTCTGGAAACTCAAACATATGTAAGATATGGTTTTGACCGAGTGAGGGGCTCGACTCCACTTAGGGAATTGGGACACAGGTATAAGAAGTGGGTTTCTGTTTACAGTGGTCTGGGGTATAAAGGATTGAGTTTTCTCTTAAGACAGACCTGCATCCAAATCCCAGCTTTACTAGTGGTGTACTTTCAAGCAAATCAATGAGCCTCTGCTGCTTCTGCTAGAAAAAGGGCCTTGCGATGATCTACATCTGGGACATTGCTTGGCCCACACTAGGCATTAAATGGTAACTTTTAAATGACAAATCAGTCTCTCAGGCAGTTAGGGTGCCATGGGGGCTCAGAAGAGAAAGAGATCATCAGATAGGGAAAAGCTCAGTATTTTGAAAGAGTAAAATAAAACTAATTGGAAACTTCCAAGATAAGAAGAAAACTCAAATCTGATAGACTGACAAAGAGTATCCCAGTTTGTGGTTGGTATTGGTGTTTTCCATGGGACAATATAAGTGTTTTAACAGTTGAAGACCAGACTGGAAAGAGAATATATACCTTGCTTAAGGCGTTGACATCATATGGCTGGGTAAGCAAAACACTAACCTTGATTTTAAATGTTTACATGGATTTACATAAATTTCTTTCTGAAATTAAAACATCTGTTCTAAGCAACAGGGCCTTATGAGGTAGTGGAGATCACTGAACAGAATTCTATTCCCTCTTCTATGGTCCTGGGTAGGTTATCTAACCTTTTATGTCATAGTGTCCTCATTTGCTGAATGGGGATAATGCTTTTGCAGGCCTAATAGGATCACTGTGAGAATTAAAAGCATGTGGAACAACTTATATGTGGTAAGTGCTCTATAGACGTCATTTGACTTTAGGCAAAATTTTTCCCTGGGGACTTTCATATACTTCTTAGATTTTTACCCTCTATGCATGTTATTCTGGGTATAGAAATATAGGACAACATTTCAATTTTTTTTAATTGAGGTATAATTTACCTACAGGGAAATTCATAGGTTGATGAATTTTGACAAATGCATATATCCATGGAACTCACAACCCTGTTAAGTTATAAAACATTTCCATCACTCTAGAGCATTCCTGTGGCATTTCCCAGTCACCCCACCCCCACCCCCAGCAACCACTCTTCTTCTTTTTTTTAATAGCACATTTCATTTCATTTTATTTTTAAAATTAGTTTCAAGTATGCAGTACATTGGTTAGACATGTATATAGTTCATAAAATGATCCCCCCAATGGCTCCCTCCCTCCCCTGACCCTCCACTTAACCATCATATTAATGCTAACTGCATTCCCTCTGCCATGCTCTCCATACTCAACTATCAACTACTAATTTATACTTCTTTAACCCTTCATCCCATTCTTCCAGCCCCCCAACACCCCTTCCCTCTGTCCGTCACCAAAATGCCCACTAAATTTGTGAGTCTGTTTTTGATCAGTTTGTTCTTTTTGTTCCTTAGATTCCATATATAGGTGAAATCATATGGTATTGATCTTCCTCTGTCTGACTTATTTCACTCAGCATAGTAACCTCTAGGTCTATCCATGTGACTTCAAATGGTAGGATTTCATTTCTTTTTAATGTC